AACTTCGTATATTAAAAGATCCTATTCTACTTTTAAGTTTCTATATCGTCGATTTAGACAATCATCGAGTTCAAAAATTCTCGATCGCTGAACTTTAGTTTAATCTGTTCATTGTCGATCCATTTCGCTAAATTTTCTTTGTCTTCTTCTTTGTTTAAATAAATTGAAGTCACAATCAAGTAAAAAACTGATTGAAATTCGATGAGAATCATTGATCGTAGAGTTTAAACCGTTGATTCTGAGATAGAGTGAAGCTGCAAGTAACAAAATACTTTCTCTTTTGATGAAAATTGATTGCCGAGTTCAATTCGACGATAATTGGCGTCGAATCAATGTGAATCTTTTAAGAGAAGAGAAATTCTTTGTGAGATTAGGCGATCTTTTCCGCGAATTCTTTGAAACGAAGGTTCGTTGAAAACCGTTGTAATGAACGATTCTCTCCAAAATCTACGATCGAAGTGCTGTTAACAACGTTTATTTCAACGTAAACTAATCTCATTGTGAGGCATCGAGCGAAGTTTGATTTCACTAGAAACCGGATTGACGCAAGATCAAAGAGATTTGTTCATTTAATAAGCTGTTTCAACATCTTTTGCTTATTAGCTTACCAAGTTTTGTTTCGATCAAATGTCAGATATTTATCAATATCAATATGTAATTTAGCGAGTGAAGAGATCGTTACACATTTTTTTCCTATGGATCCTTTTGATAGAATCGCAACGATAATTGCAAAACTCAAGAATAGCTGCTATTCATCTGAGAGCCAGAAGACCTGTTCGACAAACCAGTTGGAACTAGAGGGAAAGAAAAAGAAATGAAGTATCATATAAAAACCCCTTCAAATTTTTCATCGTCTGTTATTTGTTTATCATTATTTCGATCATCATCCAACTATCATCTGATTCTTCTCACCGACACTCTATCTGTCAATATTCAAAAAAGAGGCAAATTACTTTAAAAGAATAGCAATCGTAGCTAGTTTGTTTGGAATCGTCATCACGGTATTCGACAATTGTTCTTACTCAACATCTCGTTTAAATATATGTTGGTTTTTTTCAACCTTGACCAAAACATCATCCGATAATGCTGTGGTTCTTTCTGTTGCAATATACAGCGTTTTCGTTTTCAGTTTCGAGAAATTGTGTCTTTCCATGTGCTTATCATTTTCTTTCTGCTTCTTTATCGGTTTTTTTCTTTTCCACGTTATAAATAATTTTTTAAAATGACTTGTAATGTGATTGTTTATTCAGTTAATATTTCTTTTTGTTTTATTTCGAGCTTTTGTGCTCTTGCGAGTCCTCCCTTCTCTATTGGAATGAATACATTCGTTCGCAATCAATTTTCATAAACTCTTCGCAAAGGGTTTATGAAAGTGCAACCAAACACATACCCTTAAAGGGTATATGATATCCATGTACTCTTTTCTCGTTTATTATTCGACGCTTTTTTTACAGTGCACTACTGTTCTTCAGCTAGCGTTCTGGCCCAACATCCATCGAAGGTCTTATTCAAAACAAAATTTTGTAGTTCTGCCACAATCTTCCTTTCTCTTTTAAAGATAATGTATGAGACAACAGCGGTAAATATCACAACTAGCGCGTCCAAACCAATACTTGATGGACCCACATTATGTACCGCTATTATAATTATCCAAAAATTGAAATTACCATGTAAGAATACAGACCATTTTATTATATCACAAAATGATAAGGATTGTTTGAATATATCTCTACGAATGATTTGCAAACCCATAAAGTAGCCACATAAACAATGAATAGGAATAGCAAAGACTATCCGTTGTATTGCAGTAGAAAGTAAGTCCAATACAGTTGAATCAGAGTTCAATCCTGTAGCTAACTGATAAGCTAAGTTCTCCATAGTAGAAAAACCTAACGACGCAGTAATTGCATAGATTTGATAATCAAGTACATTTTGATAATTTATACGTATGTTTCTTGTCACCGATCAACCAAATTATACTTTAAGGTTTCCTCTACTACAGCTGCAATAAAAAATGCCAATAAAAATACGAATAAATAAAAACCGAAGTTTTTATCTACTTGGAGATTTTTCATGTCTTTATATGATTTGAAATTGGAATTTTGAATTTCTTGAAACAATTCAAAGAATATTTTTGAACCAAAACAAATGATTCCAATAATAATTACTATGACAGACTGAGCTGTCATAACTATTATTACACCTATAAAATTCGATAATACGTATATATTTGCTATTAATTTAAAGTCTACATCGCGATAATTTTTTTCCCAATAATGATAAATTATGACGATTGGAATATAAAACAGCGGCATAAATAGAAAAGCTTTCCAGTTAATAATTAATATGATAAACAAGCATATAACAGTTAAAATTAAGTAAAGTTTTAATAAAGCAGGTAAGGCAGACCATTGCGAAGACATAGCTTCCACCTGTGAATAAGAAAGAAAAAAGAAAAGAAATATATGATGTCGGTTGCATGTCAGTAGTTAACATTGTGACGAAAAGAGGGAGAGAAGTTTTACCACTCTCCTCGGCAATGATGTTTATTGTGTTACTCCATCATTCTAATCGTGCTTGTTATGTTTCTTTCTGTCTTTACCTTTATTCAGGTTCTTCTTCTTCTTATACACACATGGTCACACATAAAAAAACGCAACCTTTATATAGGTAGACAGAAAAAGAAGAGAGAATAGAGAAAAAGAGCCTTTTCAGAGCCTTTTTTTAGGTTCTAGAAAAATAGTCTAAAAAATTTTTTAGTTCCGCATGTCTGTGTCAAACCACTTTAAGTTCTAGATTTTTTTGCTAAAGCTTAAAAAGGTTCTAAAAATGGTACCGAGAAAAGGTTCACTATGATACCTTTTTTTTACATAGTACAAGGCATCAACAATAACGGACTTCTTAAAATATAAATCGAAGACAATAAACGATTGAATCGGAGCAAGTAAAAAGATAGGAATAGATAAAGAAGGATAATTTACTATTGGAATAATTAAATCAATAAAAGACCAAGTTCATCATAATACTTGAGTAGTTTCCCTGACGAAATATATGAATAAAGGATGAGGGCACATTTGAATCCATTTTGTCCCCGTTCGATTTTTCGGGCCTAATCTAATTGAGTCATATGTATGATGAAAGATCATGAGCTCCTGATCATTTTGATGTCAAATTCGAGGTATTTTGACTGAATTATAGGTGAAAACTGAGCCTACTTTCATCGTATACTAAACGGCTAGTTAGTCATTGATAGCAACCAATAATATAACCATCCGTTTGAACGAAAATAAATAGAAGTGAAGAATTATTCAAAATTATTCTGATAGGCCTTTGTGCGGGCTACAATTTCATAATAGAAGTAAACCTTTTCTGAATGCTCTCCTTATTAATCCCGATGACAGTTCAATTGTACTAGGATTCAGAAAATAAAAAAATGACAAGCATTTTACTCAACAAGATGCAATTTGTGCAAATACAGACTCCAAGAGCTTCTACAAGCACTATAGAGCGTCCGGCACAGTTTTCAATGCTCTATTGACTGCCCAAGCCAGATCGTCACGCGCACGTAACGCGGTGCGCACTAGTGCGCGTTACGTACGTGTTAGCGTAACAACGTGTTTACGGACGTGTGACAAGGTGTACGTACGCGCACCGATACGTGCAAGTCCGTACACACGTTGTCACGCGTTACAAAGCGTCTCGTACGTAACGCGCACCGCGTTACGTGCGCGTGATGATCTGCCTTGGGTGATGGGTTCCGCGCCAAAAACGGCTGAGAAATGACTGAGATAAATGAAAAATACCAAACGTGTTCGTTTTTTACTCTAGTGGGACATCGTGATGATGTCCGCTGGGAATTGACGATTGGCACTTAATTCCTATGTGGAAGCACAGGAAAAAAAACAGATGAGATTAGACGATGTCCCGTGGAGTGTCAGGATATCGTGCACGATGTCCCAATGAAGTGGCAAGGTGCATTTGCTGTCATGCATAGTGGAGTATGATGGTTGCGATTTCCGCTTGAAATTGTGTGGGGTCATGGTTTCCGTTAGGAAATGGTACGATGCCCGTTTTTTGAAGATATTGGTAACTGCTGCCGAAATTGAATATAGTTTCATAGATTTTCAGATTAATGTTAGACAAGAAAACTATTGTAAAGGTTTCAACAAATAAGGGTGGAAGACCTTCAGAGAGGCAACAGGATAAAACTTTGTCTGCCTAAAGCTCAAACATATATTTTCATATATGACTTGGGCAAAAAAGGTTAAAGTTAATATTGGAACGCTAGTAGGTGCTTGTGGTCGTCCAGAATTTGGATACATTATTTATTTTGTCCTCTCGTTGTCTATTCCAATTTTGTATAATGTGGACTGCATAATATAAATCACCAGATAAATCGTTTACATGGAAAATATCATCCTTCGTTTTACTAATCACAAATGTATACAGAATCAATCTACACTTGATTTAGAGACAAAAATAAGATTTTAATGTTTACGACAGAAATTTTGCACCATATGTTTGCATGTCTAGGCAAGTAATTTTGCTACTTTCTTCAGTGTTGCTCTTCTCAAAATTAGAGTGAGATGTATACACACAAACAGAGTTTTCGATTAGGGGGGAGGAATTGTCCCTCCCCCCTCGTTTGAAACTCGGAGTTAGCAATCTTGAAGTAGATCAAAGGCCCGGAGTAAATAAAACGGATTAAGTAATGTTCTGATAAAGTAAGCTAAAAGTATGTTAATAACGAGATCATAAACATGAATTTTGTCGTAATTAATAGCTTTAAAAGCAGTTTATGAAACACATTTATTATAGCTATGACATAAAGAATCGAAAAGACCTATATTTAAGGTTCAGTTTATCAATTAAAAAGGAGATGCGGTATTTGTAAATTGTTATATTTTTCTCATGTGAATCAGTGAATATGATAAAAAGGAAAAGAAACGAAAAATTTTGTCTTAATTTTAAAATTTGACTTAATCATAAAAGATTCTTTAATGATAAGTGACAGGAGTTTTTTTCACATAATGTCGTCTAACTATCTATGTAACCAAACGGGAAATTGTCCTGTATGTCAAGAGGTTCTAATGGTTCGAAATTTTGAAAGACATTGTAACAATAAACATACACTATTATCATCTAATGAACGTCGCAACGCTTTGAAAACTTTAAAAGAAGAATGCTCAAGAAAACGTACAGCAAAACAAGCAAATTCATCTAATATACATGATTTTTATTTTGCAAAAAAACCTCGTATTTCACAAACAGATCCAAAAGTATTAAATGACACTAATAGTGAAGTTGTTAATCCAGTTATTGACAACACATTAGCAAATACTAATGAAATTAGTGCATCTAATGATGGTTCAATAACAATAACAAATTATTTTAATATTAATAATTATGATGCATCTTTGGACAAAAGCATTAACAGCAACAACTTCAACGATGATACAATAATTAAGAATACTTCTATTTCATCACCATTTGATGTTTTAACAAATACACCTGATAAATCTGACGAGGATGATAACACAACGGAGAGTATGGATGCATGTAATAACAATACAACATTTGATAATGTTAGTGATAGTTGTAATAATAATGATGATAATAGCGAAGATCGTGGAACGAGAATTCATAATGATAGTGCTGAAGACGTTGGATTTATAGAAGATATATTGCATGATAAGAAAACATCTCGGCCAACACCTATGAAAACAAGTATACGTGGAGTATTATTTATAAATGATTATGAATTAGATTATGTAGATAAACAAGGAAATCGTTTTCCAAATATTAACTGGGAACCTGATACACAAAAAACCAACAGTAAAACACATGGTAAACCAAGTTCAACATGGTGGTCTGGTAGTCGTCAACAATGGTTAAGAGCTGTTCGTACCAATAATATTTATGGATTATTATGTTCTGTTTGTGCGCAATATACAACAGATGATGTTCGAATACAACGAGCACATGGTGCATTTATTGTTAAACCATATTACAAATTACAAAAAAAAGGCCTTGATGGTATTACAAATCATGAAGTAAGTTAGATGCATTTACAATCAATAAGTACAGCAAGTGCAAAGCTAACAAAAAACGATAATAATACAATAATTGGAAAAATTAATGCAATAAACGTGAATAATTGCACATTAAATTATTTACGTCACATCAAATTACAAGCTAGCAATTTGGCAGAACCAATAACAAAATGGTTATCAGTTTCAAACAACGATATTGGAGTGGGGAAAGTCCAGCTGAATGGTTGCTCAGTGTTAAATCATATTTATGAAAAAAGCAATTAAACGAATTAAAAAATACAAACTTTTTAACAGTTATGCTTGATGAAACAACTGATATCAACAATTTAAAACAACTTGTTATTTGTCTTCCTTTTTTTAATACAGCAACGTCATCAATAGTCGAACAAATTTTTCATTTAACACCTATCGAATCTCAAACTGGAGAGAATTTACATAATAAATTATCTGAATTTTTGACAAATATTCAAAATGAATTAGAGAAAGAATTTATAATTGTATGTCAATGCTACGACGGAGCTTCAGCTCTTCGTTTTCAATTACAAGGACATTTTCGTGCTAGATGGTGTGCATTTGCTATTTACTTATATTGTCGATCACGTCTTCTCAATTTATGTGTTAAAGACGCAATTGGTTCTGTGTTTAATAAAACCTACAAATTGGTACGTTCTACTCTTATTTTTATTCGTGATGGAGCATTTCGTGCTATACTATTAAAACGGTCACAAGAAATACAAGCAACGATTACAAATAGTAATAATGAATCAAATAATGGCGATAATTTTAATGATACATCATCGCAAAATAACAAGAATAATCGTGTACAATATGTCCAACAAAAACCTCTACCAAAAAAAGCAACACAAGCAATTCCAACACCAAGTGATACAAGATGGATATATCATTACCAATTAATTAGTTTTATGTGGAAACATTTAGCAGCAGTAGTGGCTACGTTAAGTCAGATAGTAGAAAAAGATGATGATGGTTCACCAACAGCAAATGGCTATGCATTACAATTAATTGATAAAACAACAATATTTGAAATAAATGTGATGGAAAATGCATTAAGACATTCATATTTTTCTTTAAAAGAAATTGAACATCGATCATCAACATTAGATAAATTATGGATATGTCTCGATTCGACACAAGAAGCTATTGCTAACACAATGAACGTATTTGATTTTGAATTATATAAAGAAAAATTAGCTACAATTGACAACATTGTTCCAACGGTTCCACTAACATCACAATGTACACGTCGTGGTGGTCAACATACGACAACAAATGATCAAAATAATGATATAAATGTTAAATTAATTAAACATGGATATTTATTTTTAGATAAATTTATGGAATCAATCGAGGATCGTTTAATCAAAATTGTCGAATGGTTGTTGATAATATTACTTATTTTTCTAATCCACAAGAATATGATGATAATAAATTAATTGATAATGAATTGTTGCTGTTCTACTGTAATTCAATACATTTTAAACATAAAGATACAAATAAATCAACGTACGAAAAAACAGAAAATGCAATTTTAAACAAACATTTATTACAAAACCAATTACCACAATTTCGTTCAACAATTCGAACAATAACTGGTTTACTTGAAATTACAAAATGTTTATCAAAATGTGGTGTTTATCGTTTATCTGAATGGTACAAGTTTTACCAAATATTAATTACAATACCATTAGGTGCTAATGAATGCGAAAAACCATTTAGTGCATTAACAAGAATCAAAACAAAATTACGTAATAGACTTGGAAATGATGCACTTGAAACAACAGCTAAATATGCAATAATGAAACCGTATATGAACAATGATGATATTGACTATATTGTTTCTAATTTTTATGCTAATCCTACAAGAGCAGAATCTCGAAATGTTAAAATATTTGTTGATGATAGTTAAACAAAAGTAAAAAGAAGTTAGAAAAAGCGCTAAACGAGAGAAATTTTTGTTCATAACTTTTTTTTTTGTTGAGCACTTTTGTCACAAATAGAATTTTGTTCCAAAAACTGGGAGTAAGTCCCTAAACTCCCCCCCCCTCGACAAATTTGTAACGAAAACACTGGTTAGGGCATGGTGAGAGTGCTGCATGGTCAAGGCAAGCCTCAGAGACTAACTGCACCATGTTTTCGAAGAAAAGCCTTCGAAAAAAGTAAAATGTGTATTCAAGTCTAAAAGGTTTTATTGTAAGAGAAATGCGTTCATATTGTTTTCGGTTTCTAACGTCTATACTTGGAACAGACGATATAGTTCAGATTCGTAGCTCAGTCGAAAACGAAAAATGCCGAGCTTAAAATTCCTTCTGCCTTTTGACAAATGAAGTTAGAAAGATTGTAAGATAGATAAGTACAAAAAGAAAAAGGTGTAACTTTGCTTCGTCTTAAAGATGCACGTGTATTTGTTCCTATATGCAATTTCAATATATATTTCTTTATACTTGATACAGACACATGTGTTATCTATACACATTGTCACTCTTAACTTTTTTCATTTGCTTGCATGATATCTATATATACATTCTGTAATACACACTGCTATTTTTATAAAAGTACAAGGAGCCTAAACAATCTTGATTACGCTGAAAGAGACGAAGAGAAATTAACTTCTAAATTCTAAATTTTAAATTATTTTGAGTGTAAGAAAGCTGAATAGCGAGAACTTTATTTTATTTCAAGTTACTTTGTTTGTCAGAATATTATAGATACCTTATTGGTATGTCCACGACATTTGTGTATTTCTCCTTGTGAACAGTGTAAAGTCCAAACTGCTGACTGTGTGCACTGTCTTTATGAGTAACTTTCAACAGTGATTATACTTTTAATAGTCGAGTTGAGGGTTTGGTCGAATTCCTTTTGATTTCTTTTGAATAAAGTTAAATAAATTTGTTTGACTATTTGAGAGGCAAGCAGAAAGAATATGAAACCATCAAAAATGCCTCTTCCCTTGCTTGCCTGATTATTTTCCTGTGATCTGTTCTCGAAGACAAATGCCGAGTAGAACAGATTGCAATTTGATCCTAAAGAGATTACGTTATGCTTCTTTAAAAAGTATACATATAATTTCTTCCTGTTTCTACTTTAGTGAGGAGAAGAACAGAATAAGTGAGAAATATACTCATCTGTTGATATAGCGCTGATGGCAAAATAGGTTAAACACTACGCCCACGATAAGCGAGCGTTGAGGTTCGAAACTCGTCAGCGCTTAATTTTTATTATTATTCTCCTTTATTACGCTGCAAACTGTATTTTAATTTTTTTTGCTGGAGTGTCGGCCATATGTCGGAGCCAAACCAGTGCCGATCCACTCAGTCGATCATGGGCTACAAAAGCCCACTAGTCCCAGATAGGCAACACCTCGAGAAAAAAACGCCTATAGGTTGATATGGATTACCGTATTTTTTTCATTTACTATCAGTCACAGTAGAAAAACTGACCAGTCATTTAGTAGTCTACTATCCCGAGGGAACGACTAGTCACGGGCTACTCCACTGGTCAAAAATCGCCATTTGGCCTAGTCACAGGCCTTAAAGTGACTAGTTTTCTTACTAGTCCTTTATCTGCTTGCATTAGAAAGCCTAGAGATACCAAAGAAGACAACATCCATGATGCAACCTTTAAATGTCTATTTCCATAGCCATATAGAAGGATAGTAAGAAAACTAAATGATCATGTTCGCCTTTACAAATTAATTTAATTTATCTTGGAGTTGCTAATTCTTAGTGAGTAAGTTGACTGTTATGTTTAGAACAAGTAAGAATATGATATTTAGTAACCTAATTGTTTGCAAAAAAAAGTCTACAAGTAAGGATCGCATATACTGGCCACTCTCTGACTGTATTTTTTCACACCAGAGCGACTTATTAGCTAAACTGAATGAAGAACATTTACGATGACTCATGTCGTTGACGAAGAGGAGAAACTTTTACCTAGTATGTTTTTTCAACGAAAAAACTAAACAAGTGGATCACGTTTTCTCTTTCTCATAAACGTAACCTATTGATACGTACACACATCACGTATGAAATAACATAAATATGTTCACTGTTATGTGTCAGTTATTTTTCAATTTTTCATGCGCTTTATTTTGGAAATGTCGAATACAGTTTTATATTCACTGATAGTAAATGAAAAAAACACGGTAATCTATCAGCTCGTCACGTTTCACTCAAAACATACGCGATTTTCGTAACCGGCTAAAGCTACGTATGCGGCTTTCGTATTATTTCGACTATAGTCAAACTACAGAAAGTGACTAGTATTTTCTGGTAAACAACTAGCACGAGAGTGATCTCAGTTCCGCCCTTGAAAATCCCATATGACACATGGTACCAAATTGGATCCAAGTATATTGCACGAGTAGATACTGCAAAATATTGAATAGTATGAACAGCGGCTTTATCACATAATGACGCGATTAATTCGACGTATTAATTCATCAGGTAATAGAACATAAACAATACGATCAGATTAGATCATCCGGGACGTATTAAAGCCTAAAGAAAAATATTTTTCAGGTCATGTTAATGAAACAAAAATTAATCTAGAAATTGCACATGAACAACTTCAAACCCTTATGGATAGATTACGAACAAGATCGATGCAGTCGGGTCTATTTCTAGCAGCTATGATTGCAACACCCTGAACGTTTTCAGTACCATCCATTCCATTTAAAAGCTGAGCAAGTACACAATTACCATCACTTGTTTTACTAAAACAAAAAAAGAAATTGTGACTGAATCTAAATGTAGATTCATTGTTTTGTAGTTCACTTACGTATTCGATGACGGTTGATTCGCAATAGCGTCGATTTCATCTAAAAATATAATGACGGCTGAAGCTAGACGACTACGACGAAATATTTCACGTATAGTACGTTCAAATTCGCCAACCCATTTACTAAACAGTTCTGGACCCTAGGGAAACAAAAGAGAAAAAATTGAGGATTTGTACTGTTTATAGAGACTTACTTTACAGCAAAAAAGTTCAATCCAGACTCAATAGCAACTGCTTTAGCAATCACCGTTTTGGAGCAGCCAGGCGTTTCATACATTAATATACCTTTCGTTGGTGATATGGACATCGTTTTAAATGCGATAAGATCTTTAATTGGCCATACAATCATATGTTCAATTTTCTGTTTTAAGTCCTGCTGATCGCCAATATGAGACCATTTTACCTAGATATAAAGTGAATTATAGTCAGAAAGACAATTATGTGTGTCTCCTACCTTTAGTATTTCTAATAAAACGTCTCTCATACTACTTGATTTAATTACTGATAAAGCATTTTCAAAATGACCTTTTTAATTCGACATTATTTTCGTTAATCGATTTCATGGCAAAATGAGCAGCTAAAAATACACATTACTGCGTTGGCTGTTTACAGTAAGATAGGCTTTATACCTTGACGACATAACTTTTGTAAATCAGCTCCATTAAATCCATGTGTCTTTTCAGCTAACAATTGTGAATCTTCGCTACTTAAATGGTGTTGAATACTTTGAAGTTTTATGTTTACAATCTAAGTATCAAGAATGAGTCATATGTAAGAGGTCACCAAACCACTCACCTTTTTCATGGTATATTTGAACACCCAGTACTAGGAACACCAACCATACGTTCTTGGCATATGCGTGGCTTTATTACTTTGAAATGACAAATGTGCATTCTACACTATCAAACTCCGTGTAAATTCATGAAAATTAAACCGGTCAACCACACCGGAGAGATGAGAAATAATAACCCATTCAGGATGACATATGTTAATTCTTTACTTGTACGTTACGTAGTAATGCTCTTTAACAACTTTTGTGTAAAGGTATTGGACCTTTATGGCCAATAAGATTCAAGCAAAAGTGAACAATTTTCCTTGGGTTTGTTTCGTTCGTTGCTTCTTAAAAGCTTTTAATAAGCTTTCAGCTTTATGTAGAGAGATCCCAGCCTTTTGCTGTGTATTCAATATGGAAATCCAAGAAATTTACCTTGGAGAAATACAAACTTTTACGTGTATGTTCGAACTTTCGCAGTAACTCAGTACTTACTTTCATTCGAGCCTCCCGATCACTAGTTCGGAAAATAAAAAGTGGTTTTAAAGCTATTTTACTTCGAACAAAATGAAAGATCTCTGTAAGCAAGAGTAAAAAACAGCTGCCCGGGACCTAGAATTAAGACGCAAGCAAGCAAGCAGAAAAGCTTTTCAGTAAGCTATCGATGCTCGAAACACGTACTGAGGATACAGTTCATCTTTCGAGCATCTTTAGCTCAACCTGTTCTATGCTTGCTTCTTAATTCTAGGTGCCTACGTTCGAATTATCGCCACAGCAGAGTAGGTTGTTTCAGTTTTTCTCTTCCTTAACTTGTGAACCTTGACATTAAGATAGCTGTGGACGGCCGTGTGAGAGCATGAAGACTCTCTGTTCACGTCAGCTCCATTCTGAATTTAATTTTTAACTTTTTCAAATCTAAAAGTTTAGCGGTTTTACACGCATTGGAAACTGACGCGTTTAGCAGGATGTTTTCTGTCACATTTCGGGCGTTCAAATGCGTTAAATCATAACGCGCTCTGACGTGGTGACTATCGAAGTTGTGAAACGCGTTAATCAGTAACGCGTCTGAACGTCCGGAATGTGACAAAAAACATCCTGCTAAACGCGTTAGTTTCTATGAAAATTTAAACGCAATCTAACGCGTTTTTTTCGCAGAAAACGTTTGGTTAGGGTGATAATGTCGCTCTAGTGTCAGAAGATATAGAATTATATAAGGTCGTTAAAAGATAAATCAAGCGGTCAAAGCTAGCTTTACTACATTTCAATCACATTTTCATCTTTCTATGAATATTTCAACATCTTGTCTTCGCCAAAAAGAAATGTCTTCACTGTTCATTCGACCTCCTGTTGAAAATCTCATACTGATTTCGGAAGTGACTTTATTATTTGTATCTCACGCAATAAAAATGTCGAGATTAATTGTACCGTAGACCACTGGCATATGTCCTATATGTCATGTGACGTAAGTAGTAGTTATCAATAAAAAGACTTCTTAATATTGTGTTTATTTTCAATGCTTCTTCAACTGCTTGAACTACTTCTTTCGATATAGTGTGGATTCCAATAGCGAGGCTTGTTAACGCAGCCGCTGCAGTTTCAGACGCATGAAAATGTCTGCTAACAATATCTGCATATTTTACTGAGTATCAATGTTTTAGTCATTAAAAAAGAATAATTTTGATCAACAAACATCTTTAGATGCAAATGATTATATACTCGAAAAGCGTCAGAATGCAATATTCGATGTCTAAGAAAATCACACACCAGAATTTCAAAGTACAAAGTACGATTGTGGCTCCCGGTCCACAGAGTTCAAGACAGATCATGTGTTTGTTCAACCGTACATGGTGACAATGGAAATTTTTGCAAATGCATCCTTGACAAATTGCAAATGAATTTGTATGCGTGAATAAGTACAACGTAATATTCCTATTAAAAATGCGCGGAAACTGTCAATCTTCGTATATCATGTACTTGATGCTAGTAGTAGTTAACCTTGCGTTCATCCTCAACATTTCTTTAAGTGCTGCGCACTCATCAGATAGCGTAGAGCTGTACGTATCAATAAAAAGACTTCTTAATGTTGTGTTTATTTTCAATGCTTCTTCAACTGCTTGAACTAGTTCTTTCGTTATAATGGGGATTCCAATAGCGAGACTTGTTAACGTTAAATTCATTTTTAATCCTTCTGCAAGGGCTTTGGCGTCCTCTGGCGATATACTGCTATAACTCATATCCAGACTGGTTAATGCGGAATTTAGTTTCAGTGCTTCTGCAATGGCTTTAGCGCCCTTTTCCGATATACTGCTGTTTGCAATATTGAGACCTGTTAATGTTGAATTCACTTTTAATGCTTCTGCAAATGCTTTGCAACCTTCTTCCGATATTTCGCAGCCTGTTCCATGCAGACTTGTTAATGCTGAGTTTATTTTCAGTGCTTTTGCAATGGCTTTAGCGCGCTCTTTCGATATACTGCTGTTTGCAATATCGAGACTTGTTAATGTTGAATTTATTTTCAGTGCTTCTGCAATGGCTTTAGCGCCCTCTTCCGATATGCTGCTATTTGCAATATTGAGACTTGTTAATGTTGAATTTATTTTCAGTGCTTCTGCAATGGCTTTAGCGCCCTCTTCTGATATACTGCTGTTTGCAATATTGAGACTTGTTAATGTTGAATTTATTTTTAGTGCTTTTGCAACAGATTTGCCGCCCTCTTGCCATATACGGTTGTTTCCAATATGGAGAGTTGTTAATGTTGAATTTATTTCCAGTGCTTCTGCAATGGCTTTAGCACCTTCTTGCGACATACTGTTGTGTGCAATATTGAGACTTGTTAATGTTGAATTTATTTTTAGTGCTTTTGCAAAAGCTTTGACTCCTTGGTCCGATATAACGGTGCTTGGAATATGGAGAGCTGTTAATGTTGAATTTGTTTTCAATGCTTCTGCAATGGCGTTAGCACCCTCTTCCCATATACTGTTGCTTGCAATATTGAGACTTGTTAATGTTGAATTTATTTTTAGTGCTTCTCCAATTGCTTTGACCCCTTGGTCCGATATAAGGCTGCTTGCAATATGAAGAGTTGTTAATGTTGAATTTATTTTCAACGCTTCTGCAATTGCTTTAACCCCTTCTTGTATGGCGTTATGTGCAATGTCAAGACTTCTTAACGTTGTATTTATTTTCAGTGCTTCTCCAATTGCTTTAGCGCCCTCTTCCGATATACCGCTGTTTGCAATATTGAGACTTGTTAATGTTGAATTTATTTTCAATGCTTCTGCAATGGCTTTAGCACCCTCTTCCCGTATACTGTTGCTTGCAATATTGAGACTTGTTAATGTTGAATTTACTTGCAGTGCTTCGGCAATTGCTTTGACCCCTTGGTCCGATATACTCCGTATGATACTAAGGCTTTTTAACGCTAAATTTATTTTCAATTCTGCTGCAATTGCTTTGGCTGCTTCGTTTGATATATCCTTCTCTTCAATATTAAGACTTGTTGTATTATTATGTCTTATTTGCTGGATGATTCCGTATCCCTCTACAGAATTATTGCACATTGTTTGTGAGACCAAGGCTGATGTAGGAGATAAAGCTGACGAGTGATTGAATGAGGGTAACTCTCGACAATTGAAGATGGATGATTATAGTGTGCTTGCTATGAATATTTATATAGCAAGAAAATCGTATTTTGTGCGATGAGAGGAGAAAGAAAAAGAGACAAAAAAATGTTTTTATGTTACATATCGTTGATGTATTAGATTGATAGTTTAGCCGACTGTTCATGAGAATATTATGTTGTGCTTATTCAACCATACAATTTCATTTGCCAATTGTGAAGAATGCATTTGCAAAAATTTGCATCGTCACGTTGTACGGT